AGTGGTACTTTCTCCAGTAATGGGAAAGTTAGGAAGAGGGTTGTGGAGGGGGATGCGGAGATCAGTTCAGTTTTGCACATGTCAAGTTTAAGATGTTTCCAGATAGAGTGTAATGTGTGAGGATCATCAAGTTTGACAGGACTGTAACAGATTACCAGAAGGAGAGCAATATATAGACATTATCACCATATAGGATCTATTGGACTAGTCCTAAACAGGTAGATTGTCAAGCAACATGTTATTCTAGAGGTGATGGGGAGCTGCTGGGGTATACTGAGTAATCTCCCCATGCCTCACTTTATTCATGTCTAAAATGAGGGTCTCTTGCCCCTCTACATCTATGATCTTATTAATAGGAGAATGATGTGATCAGACCTGAGTTTTAGGAAAGTTTCTTTTGCAGCTGTGAAGAGTGGATTGAAGTGAGACAGGAAGATCAGTTAACAGGCTAATTCAGTAGTCAGGATGAGAAGTGAGCACCTTCATTAAGTAGTGGCTTTTTGAGAGAGAAGAGCTGGCCCCGATTAATGTTGTGGAGGCAGAAACAAGATTTGGCTGCTGAACATACAAAAGTGACTTAAACTATGCTTTCCTTCCTCCAGCAAAGGAGATTGAAAGCTATAGAGTACAGAGAATAGGATTTGTTAAAGTATATGAAAACCTTTTTTTGTTTGGGTTTACAACTAAACCTTTAAGAAACAAATGACATCAAATGAATAAGAATGGATTATGTATGTATTTGCATATATATGTATGTGTGTATTACCTCTCTCTCTCTCTCTGTGTCAGAGATATTTTAAAAAGAAAGTCAAGGCAACCAGTCTATCCCTGTGGACAAGGACTTTGTCTTCTGCTTTGGTACTGGAATACCATGAAATATCCTCCTACACATTACCTAGTGATGACTTAAGGCTACACTACAGTTTATGAGAAAAAAACCCTGGAGTTTTAGTGACCTACTTACTTAACATGAGTTAACAGTGTGATATGGAAGTTAAAAAGAAATCCACAAAAAACTGATGTGCTCTCTGGATGCGTTAATAAGAGATGAGTAGCCAGAACAAGGGATATTATAGTTCCCACAATGTATACTCTTTGCTGGTCTTATCTCATCTTAAATAAATATTTTTTAATTTCTTAAATATAAGCTTTACACTTTAAGAAGGCCATTGTCAAATTACCAGCATGTTGGGGAGACTTGAAACCATGTCATATCAGTTACTTAGTCTGTACAAGGGAAGTCTTAGGGGAGATAAGATAACTGTCTTCAAGTATTTAGAAGACTGTCATGTGGACAAGGAATTAGGTTTATTTTACTTCTCAGAAGGGCAAAATGAGGAGGAGTGGATAAAAATTGCAAAGAAAGGTTTCAGTTCAATGTTTTAAAAAAGGGCTTTCTAACACTTCTGGAGATGTGTCAAAGTGGAGTGGGCTGCCTTGAGAAGTAGGGAGGGCTTCGTAGAGGCCAGGTGACTGTTTATTGGGGGTGTTGTAACAACCAATTCCTATTCAAATAGGGATTGAAACAGAACCTGAGGTTTTCCCCGAACTTTAAGAAATTATGATTCCAAGTTAATAGCAGGAATTAAAAAAAAAAAACAACCCAATCCTAGTTGTCCTCTGGGATGAATTTGCGTTCATTTTAATCTTCTGTACTTCCTATAACAATTGATGTTATGATGACCCTGAAATACTACAAAATTCTGTATCACAAAATGTTTAAAGTATTTTCAGTGTACTTTGCTTAGGGACAAATGTACACTAGTACATTTTATGACTATTAGTTGCACATTTTCTGCTATAAAGATTGAAATAAAAAAGTTTTCTTGGTTCAGTCTCTGAATTAAGTAGAAAATTTAACTAAATCTTGTTCTTGCCCTTCCATCTCCCTGTAACCCCTTCTCCCTCTTTCATAATATTTTAGTGTAATAAGTATAAAATTCTAGGGAGGAGATGCTTTATCAAAACTTAGAAAATTTCAGAGAGGTGTGTTGAGATTTTGGATATGTAAGTGGTATTCTATGAGTCCATGTCTGAATACACATTGAACTCTTTTTAAAACTGCTTTCTGTCATTTTTAGAACAAGTTAGGAGGGTAGCTAATGGTCACTACTGGCATGTTGCTTGTCTCTGAAGTAACCTGTCCATAAAATACTTGAGGAGAGAGGATTGGTAATTTTACCCCAAATGAGAAGCTCCCTCCCCTTCTGTTTTCAGCAAAAACCAAACAACCCCTTCAAAGGTAGGGTTATTGAAATTTAATTAGTTTAAAAACATCATCACTTTTTAAGAAGAGAGGTCAATTTCAAACTTAGTCATGAGCAATACTGGTTTTGAGGGGGAAAATTAAACTTGGTTTAAAGCATATTTGTTCCATGTTAGTCACATATATTTAATGTTAGCATTGCTTTTTATCTGTTTGATTGTGGGAAATCCTTTGGCTTTTCCTGTTTTGTGAAAATATTTTGAACTTTGACATTTTATTGAAAAGTTGAAAATGCTTTGTAAATATTTATCCACAGGGAGCAGCCTAGGTTAGTGGAAAGATCTCTGGCCTGGGATTCAGACCTGAATTCTAATCCTGGCTCACTATCACTACTTAGCTGTGTGACCTTGGGCAATGAGAAAGAAGACCTTTGGTCTAAAGAGACAAATATGAATCCCAGGGAACTGCCCAACCAACTTCAAGTTTAAAAAGACATGTTCAGAAGGTGAAAGCAAGGGCAGGTAACTAAGGATGAATACAAAAGTGTGAGCAGGGTCAAGATTCAAAAATATGTCCATTGATTACAACATTTGGCCAAATCTAAAAGCTGGAATTGAAAAAAAAAAATGTAAGGTCTTGCTCGTGATTTACAAAAATCAGCTTGAGAGAGGAGAGACTGTATTCAGCTGAAAAAGATTTGTGGATAATACTGGACTTCAAACACAATCTGTGGCAACAGTGTGATATGATAGCCAAAAAATTAACATGATTTTAGACTTTATCTGGTAGCATGATGCCCAGGACAAGCAGCGTGGTATATAGAGGGTTAGCTTTGGAGTCAGGAAGACCTGTGTTCAAGGCCTCTCTGATATATATTGGCTACATGACAAAGAACAGGTCACCTAACCTGCCGGACTCTGTGCAGCTATGTGTGGTTAAATTTCAGCTGCTCTGTTATCAGCAGAGGATGTTTCTACACTTGTGAAATCGTAGGCCTGGACAAAAAAAGATGTCCAGGACTAGAGAACTGAGACAGTCCAGCTGTGCTCTGCCCTTGTTAGAATATATTTGGAGTATTTGTTCACTTCTAGGAGGCAAGTTTAAGAAGGACATTGGCAGTTCTAGAGAGCATTGAGAATGGATTAACTAGGTTGGTGAAAGAAGGGCCTTGAGTTGAAGGAACTGAGATATGTTAGCTTGGAGAAGAGAATAAGGGATTGGGAGGGATGTTAGCAGTCTTCAAGTATTTGAAAGGATCTTAGACATAGAATTTTAGAGTTAGAAGCAGCATTAGACTAGATACATGGCATTCTCACCCCTTGTTTTAGTGGAGAAGAAACAGGCTTAGAGATCCTTGCCCATGGATAGTAACAGAGCCTCAACTAGGATGCATAGTTCTTGTCTAGTGTATTTTCCAGTACTCCAGAACTACTTCCTGACTATTCTTTGGGAGAGTTCAGCCAGTGTTTCCTGTAGACTGACCCCCAGTCCTTTCTTCTGTCCTGGCAGAGGGCTCCCCAATAAAGGGACCTTTACCCTTCACCCTCTTCCTTTACAACTCTTTTACCTCTTTAATTTCTACCCTTACCTCTAATCAGTAGGCCTTGTTTCTCAATGTCTCTCACTCCACTAGGAGATGTCTGTAGTGTCTCCTTGTAGTATAAGGACACCTGCAGATTTCTGTTAGGCCCTTTCCTCCACCACAGTGGGAAGTGAAACTCATGTAATTTTGCTCCATCCTTTAAGTTGCCCATCCTGTGGAAGGGGAATTACACTTATTCTGTTTGGCTCTAGAGAGTAGAACTAGGGACAGTGGGTTGGAGTTGTTGCAAGGCAAATTCAGGTTAATGTAAAGAAAAGTGTACTATCAGAGCACCAAAATTGAATTGGACTGCCTTGGAACATAGGGGTTCTCTTTCGCCAGAGATCTTTAGGCAAACGAATATTGTAACTTCTCTTAAGTCTCAATTTCCTCTACTGCAAATGAATGGATTGGACTAGATGATTGCTGGGTTTCTTCTAGCTTTAAAATTCTTTGTTCCCTAACTCAAATCATAGCTCACTAGGTTTACGTGTTAAACCTCATTATGCAGGGTGCTTTTTGCCATTTGCCAGCTCCCACAATGATTCCTGGCTATAGCTCAGGTACAGGAATCCTGATAGAGTTTGTTGTAGCAGGTACTATGGAGGATGGGGAAGAGGAGGAGGAGAATAGTAGTGGACCAACTGATGAGGGGGGGAGCTTTGAAATAAAACCTTAGGTGTTACTTGGAGGGAAGCTCATGATGGTAGACACGACTTGCACCCTTTCTCTGTGTTCTTCTCTCTGGGTCAGAAGAGATGAGAAATGACCTGGGCCAGGCAATAATGCTTCTCTGTTGAAGAAGAGATGTTAAAAAATTTGTATCAGAAGTAGTGATTGGAGCTCAAGGGAAAAAGGTACCCAAAGTGAGAAAGAAGAGAATCTGGTAGGAGTTTCTTGGATACTAGAGCAAATTCTATATCTCCTCCTAGCTGAGTGAAAAGTGTGAGAAGAAAAAAAAAGGGAACATAAAATAAATTTGGTAGATTCTATATGTTTCTGTTTCTTTCCCAAAATGCAGATAAGTAATCATGTTTGTTTAATATTAAGAAAACTTATAATGAATAGTATTTGATTGAAAGTATATCTCATTAAAATGTCATAGTTTTTAGTGAGAACAAAAGTAGAAATCATAGTTAGGCTACAGTGGAAATGTCCAGTCTTGTCAGTTGTTACATATATCATTTCTGCTTTCTCCTCTGATTCCAATAGAACAAGTTGAAATCATCACAGAAGGATAAAGTTCGTCAGTTTATGATCTTCACGCAATCTAGTGAAAAAACAGCTGTGAGTTGTCTGTCTCAAAATGACTGGAAGTTAGATGTTGCAACAGACAATTTTTTTCAAAATCCTGAACTTTATATACGAGAAAGTGTTAAAGGATCGTTAGACAGAAAGAAGTTAGAACAGCTATACAATAGATACAAAGGTGAGTGCTTTAATTTTCCTGTAGTTTCTAGTTTATATGACTAACATGTATATACCATACATCTCAATAAATATGTAATCAACTAAAGTTACCTAGACCGAGCTATTGTGGAAAGCTGCATTCACAAGCCGTATTCTTCTGTGGTCCTGACATTTAGCAGAATGGTAAGTAATGAAAAAAGAACTGGACTTTGAATCTGTGGACCTGGAATTACCAGGACCTTTTATCTTGGCTCTTCCATTTTAGGCAAGTCTCTTCACCTCTTTAGGCCTGTATCTGTAAAATGAGGAGAATTGGACAAGATGACCTCTAAAGACCAATCATATTTATTATCCCATGACTGTGTTTTACTGAATAATGTGGAACAGGTTTTTTTCAGCCCTTGGTACATTTGTCTATTTTTTCTCTTTTAGAGTATTGATCTTTTCAAGGTATAATTTCTTTCTCTTTCATGGGAGAGTTTTGAGAAAATGTTGATATCAACTTATAGTATGTTCGACACACTTTTAAAGTAACATTGGCCATAACTTTTGCCAGCAAACTTGGAGGCTGCTGGTTGACTTAAACTTAGTTTGGATGGAAATGTTCCATAGGACTCCTGTGTACCTTGGAATTTCTTACCTTAGGAAAATCAAGAGGCTGAGTTCATTCTTTCTACTGGAAGAAATTCTTTCACTCTCCATTTCTTAGTTTAAGAATAGTAGGGGAGTCCGTTTTCTTTTTCCTTTGATTCAGCTGACAATTATTTTTAGGGAAGTGACATAAGAAAATTTTGGAGACTGTCAGACAAGTAGCTTTTCTTTAAATTGGACAGATTCTTGCCTGTACCATTGGGTTAAATGGCACAGTTTATAACTATTGTTGGTAATTTCTTCAAATGAAGAATGTAATGTTCTGCTGTGATCAAGCTGTTCATAAGAGAAAAGGAATTTCATTCTATTGTGATGAGCAGTTAGAGAAAGACTAAACAAAACATGACTTTTAATACTTCTTTCAGAGGTCACATTCCTGTTTAAAGGTGACTGATTTTCTGAATGTGTGTGAGTATGGAAGAGTGTTCCAAGTATAAGCAAAGCCCTCTGTTGTGTCCATGACTTTTCTTTGGGTGGAGGTGGAGGGGTGAGGGGTTTCTACGTGTTGGTTTAAAAATATTGTAAGGAAAATGTTTTATTGGTATTTTAACTTTGACTGAATTGTGAAGAGCACAATTTTAAAATGTGACCTTCAGAGCATTGGTTTTTTGTGAAGGCATTGTTTTAAGAAGCATGGAAACAGTGATGTGTAATAACCTCATAGAACTCGGTCATTTTTCTTTTGCCATATTAATTTGTTCTTATTTTCCTAAGATCCTCAAGATGAAAATAAAATTGGTATAGATGGTATACAGCAATTTTGTGATGACCTGGCACTTGACCCAGCCAGTATTAGTGTACTAATCATTGCTTGGAAGTTCAGAGCAGCAACACAGTGTGAATTCTCAAAGCAGGAGTTCATGGATGGCATGACAGAATTAGGGTGAGTATACTGCAGGTAGGAGAAACTAAGTACATGATCTTAAAAACTTAAAGTTGGTCTGATTTGTGGAAACTGTTAACTTTAGAATTTTGACTATAATCCTTATGCAAAACTTTTTCCTTTTTAATATGGGTAGAAGTCATCTTTTTAGGGGGCCATTTTTAGAAAGGTTCTTATTTGTGTAGTTTAGTGGAGTCTTCATTTCTGGTTTCGCAGTCTTGTCACTGACATGTGACAACTTATAAAATATTTTTACCAAGCTCTTTGTCCTTGCTTCCTCATGTGTAAAAAATTAAAATGAATAATCTTTGTAATTTTCCACAGATTAATGGTATGTGAGCAAATCTACAATTTTTTCATTTGCTGAAGATAAGTGATGTCAGCCTCTAGGTCTTAATGTCCTGATCTGTAAAAAAGAGGTGATTTCACTAACTAGGTTATCTCTGTAATGTTTCTTCCAGCTTTAATTGTTTGTGAATTTTGTTTAGAACATTGAAATGTTAGGAATCATAGCATTTTTTGAAGTGGTAGATTGCTCAAATCTGACCAATTCATGAGCCCTAAATTCAACTTCTGCCATACATAGCTTTGGGTAAGTAGACTAGTTCAAGTCATGGATAGCCCTAGTTGTATAACTTCTTCCCAGAACATGATCATTTGTTGGGTTTCCTAGTAATTCGGTTTGGATGGTGAATAGAGCTGATCCTTCTGCTTTTTGGCCACCACATGAAATTTTCTGTAGTAGTGCTGGTGCTTTGCTCAGGTAGATTCATTAGAATATCCAGATTTTTGATTTTTCTCTTTTTTCCTATCTAAAACTGAAGTCACAATATAACTTAATGAGCTTCCAAATCAGATTTCAAAATAAAGTGTTAGTACCTTGGAAAATGATGTAGATAGGTTTAAAAAATTGTGGACTGACATATTATTTAATATATTAAAAGAATGTCTATATCTTTGTTCATTTTTTGAGTCATGAATTATGAAGATAGTAAGGCTTTCTACTTATAGATATAACATACTTTGAATTTAAAAGTGAAATACTTCATAAACAAAATAATCATTTCAGTGATTTTTATTTCACTAATTATGCAGTCACAGAATGACTTTATTTTAAAAAGGGGTTGAGCGACTGGCTAAAATATTTAGTCATTTAAATAAGAATAAAATTGTGAAGGGAATTTTTACCTACCTTTTTTTTTTTTTTTTTTTCAGTCCAGACCTGTGATTTCAATGATATAGGGAGCTCCTAGCTAAGAAACTTCCTCCAAAAATGCGTATTGGCAACTATTCTTCAACTTGTAATCATAGAAATATTTTTGAATTTTTGGAGCATCTGTTTACTGATAAAAACTAGTACTGCCCTGAAATTGTCTAATATTGCTGTGATATGGATACTTTGTCATATAAATTACAAATCTTTTTATCAAGCCATCAAAGTGAATTTCTACTGGGAAACACTTTGTTATTTCATTTCAAATTATTAAATATTCGCCAATTTAGTCTCTTAGTTATTTTAAGAAACTCAAATTTCTTTAGATTTAAAAAAATCGCATGTCTCACAAGCATTAGTGTAGTTTTACTGAATATATTAAATCTAAGGGATGAAATTTTAACTTCTGAAATTGTTAAAAAAAATTGTGTAAGTTTTATAAAATAAGGATGAATGTTTGTAATAAGTTAAATATAGTAAAAAAGTAACTTCTGAATTAACTTTAAAATATAGATGTGACAGCATAGAAAAGCTAAAGGCCCAGATACCCAAGATGGAACAAGAGTTGAAAGAGCCAGGACGATTTAAGGATTTTTACCAGTTTACTTTCAATTTTGCAAAGAATCCAGGACAAAAAGGATTAGGTGTGTATTTTTTTTTTTTGTTAATGCCTTTTGCTACAAATTATGTCTTTTGATAATTTCTTTATATTTAGAAAGTTGTGTGTCTCACAAACATTAAATCTCTGTGAGAGTGCTCTAACCATCACAGAGCCATGAACTGTGTCTGCCAAGCATTGTTGCGGATACTGGGATAAACTGAGTCACCATGTATGTACTGTATGTGAATCCCTACTCAACATAAGGAGCATACAGCAAAATGGACTTAACACTAAAACTCTGTTAATCACAGGATTCAGAAGGCAGTTCAGGATTTTTGAATTCTGTAGTCATCATAAATTGTTCTATATTATCCTAGAAGTTCTAGCTAATAGATATTTCTGGACAAGAGAATGTTTGGGTAAAACAATTTTCTCTGAATAGTCTGTTGGCAAATAGGTGTCATGCCTATGTCATATTTAGTGATATTTAAATAGGTGTGTGTACATGTACTCAGTCATGTGTTTTTTTTTCTTCATGTGTATTCTGGAGGAACATAGATGTGGGAGAGAGCTCTAGATTTGGAGTCAGAGGGCCTGGGATCTAGGCCTGTCTATGCTCTTTACAACCTGTGTGACTTTAGGGATATCATTTACTCCTCTGGAACTCAGCGTCCCCATCTGTAAAATGACGGGATTGGCCAGTCTAGGTCACCCTCTGAAAGTTCAGCTTTCAATCTTTGATCCTATAATCTTATCCTGAAGGAGCTTCAGAACAGGAAACCATAATGAGTCTTTCAAGATATATAAATTCTCTGGATTGTATTAAAGTGCTATGTTGTGTAGTGTGGACTTATAAAAGCGGAGGTCAAGGGGGGTTGGCTGGAGGGGATGAGACTTGGGTTGAGTCTGGAAGCATGGATAGAATGGGGACAGCTAAGGGACAGAGGAGGAGGGGACAAACTTTGATTTGGTGATAGTGAGGAAGAGAAGGAGCCTGATTAGAGGAGAGAAGTTTGTGTTGAGGAGGAGTGAGATAAAAAGGTATGTAGAATAGGTATGTAGTTTTAAAGTTTAGATAAGAAATAAAAGTCTTGAAGTTTTTTGAATCAGTGACATCCTCATGTTTAAGGATTGATTAACATGGCAGCCAGCTGGTTGATTTGAAATGGAATGAGTCTGGGGTTAATGGTTTTCAAAGTCTGTTCTCATTTGTGATGGTAGTAGATGTGCCTGCCACATTTATGTTCCACCTGGTGTTCTAGGTAAGGAAATTTTAGTGATAATGAAGAAAAAGTTGGGAAAAGTGGCTGGACCTAAATAAATATTTCCATACAAAATTATCCGGGCTGGAGGTGACACAGTTTTAAAGATTCTCAAGGACAGGTTTTCAAGACCTTGGAAAGGGGAAGATTCCAAATGAATAGAGAAGATGATCATAATGTTACTAAACTAGAGGCAACCAAGAATATGACAGTACCTATTAACCCACAGACCTACTTTTTCTCCATGTAAAAATATTTGGAATGTTGTATACATACAGTCTGGATACCCTTGATTAATTTTTAGAAAATGTAGGAAGGCAGTATTTTGGCTTCTGCAGGTTATGTCTTCATAGTCACTCAGTTGACTGAGAGGTGCAGGCTTCTTTTCAATTGTAGTAATATCGTCATTCAGCCTTTCTTTGAAGACCTGCAGTAAGAGGAAACATACCAGCTCCCAAGGCAGCCCATTCCATTTTGGGGCAGTTCTGATATTTGCAACTTTGCCTGTTGTTCCTAATTTTCCCTGTGAGGCCTAGTAGAACAAATCTGGTCTTCTCTCACATAGTAGATCTTCACATACTCTAAGGGCTGCTATTTCTTCCCTGATTCTTCTCAGTAGTTTAAACATCCCTAGTTTCTTTCATCTTTTTTCATATGGCACAACCATTCTTCCATTATCCTAAATTAATAACTTGGCATTTATCTTTAATTCCACAGTATTTTTCATCTCACTTAGCCAAATCAGCTGCCAGATTTTGCCCTTTCTTTCTTCTCATCATCTCCTGAATCTGACACTTCTCTTTTTATGCAGCCACTACCTTCCATCATGTCTTGATTGCTGCCAGAGACTCATTGCTGTGCCTGCCTCAAGTCTGTCCCCATTGCAACTCACTCTAAACACTACTGATAGAGCAATTTTTCCTGAAGTTCACATCTGACCAGGTCATTCCCTCCTCATTCCACTACAGTGGTTCTCTATTGTCTCCAGGATCAAACATAAATTCCTCTCTCTAGCTTTTAGTCCCTATTTACAGTCTGGCCCCAACTTAACTTTCTATCCTTATGCATGACTCCCCCTCCCACCTTCTGGGACACAGCCTTTCTCTGTTCTTTACACACGACTCCTTCCATCTCTGTGCTTCTCCCCTGGCTGTGCTCTCTGTTGGGACTGTGCTCCCTCCTCATCTTTGCCTCCTAGAACCCCTCCAATCCTTCAAGCCACAGTGTAAGCACCATCTTCTACCTGAAGCCTTTCCTGATCCCCCAGCCCCCCCAAACCTCCAATTTTGTGTGTATTCTTTTATGTTTATCCTGCTTATATGTTTATTTTTTATCTCTTCTGTTAAAATAGTATTTTTTCTTTTTTAGAATAAGTTTTTATCAGTGTCTTCTGTTTCTTACGTCGTCCTTGTTATCCCAAGTATCCTCCCAAAGAGCAGAGGGAAAAGAATCAGCATAACTGATTGATACACTGAAAAAAAATCTGAAATCCTGGGCAATGTGTAACACCTATGGACCTGCTTAATTTTTGTTACTTCCTCACATTTATTTTTGATTTATTGGTGTGGCTGTCTCCATTTATATTACATGTAGTCTCTGTGCATATTGCTTTTTGGGTCTGCTTGCTTCACTTACATCAGTTCGAATGGCTTTTTCCATGCTTCTCTGTGTTCATCATACACATTGTTTTTACAGTGCACATTCATTTACCACAGTTTGTTCAGCCATTCCCCAGTTGATGGACATCTACTTTTTTTCTATTTTTTTGCTAGAATAGCTAGCATTTTTAGAGCTCTTTAAGGTTTTTAAGATGTTGCATGTATTTGATCCTCACAACAACCCTGTGAAATAGGGGCTAGTGTTATCCCCACTTTACAAATAAGGAAACTGAGCCTGAGAAAGGTTAAATGACTTGCCAATGGTCATACAGCTTGTTGGTGTCTGATGTGGATTTTGAACTCAGGTCTTCCTGACCTAAAATCCAGTGGTCTTACCCCACGGTGTCACGTACAGTTGTAAGCTCCTTTTGAGTAGGGATTGTTTTATTCATTTGTATTTGTATCTCAAGTACTTAACACAATATCTGGCATGTAATAGAGGTGTTTAATAAATACTTGCTAATTGATCAGTACTCTCAAGTCTTCCAATTCTGGTTGCCCTTTTCTGAAACTTTAGCTGGTCAATATCCTGACTGAAATTTGACACCCCGGACTAAGTATTCCTCTTCTGGGCTGACCAGAGCAGTGTACAGCAGAACTCTCTTTTTCTGAATGCTGTCCTCTTCATGCAGCCTATTAGAGAATTAGATGCTTTTTAAAAGCATCCTTTTTTACCATCATGTTGCATTGTTGAGCTCTTGAGCTTGTAACACACTTAAAATTCCTGGTTCTTTTTCACAGGAACTGTTGTCCAACTGTTCTTAGGCTTGTAAGGTTGTTGTTGTGGACCCAAGTATAGAACTTATTACATTGCACCTGCACTCCCTTTTTGTCTGGGCTGGTTCACTTATCCCCATTCCTTACTCATGTCAGCAGTTCTAGGGTCTTTTTCCACATGAGGAACTAGTTGTGGCCAAAATCCCTGTGACTGCTACTCGCCCTCTCTGCTTTCAGAATACTAGAATGATAACGCGCGCGCGCGCGTGTGTGTGTGTGTGTGTGTGTGTGTGTGTGTGTGTGTGTGTGTGGAAGGGAGGGATATATTTCTACTTGCAATTCTTAAATCCCCACCCGTTAACCTCACATTTACGCAAAATTAGTTACTATTAATTCGTAAACATAAAACATTTACTTAGCATTTACTTCATAAGGCAAAAGCAATCATAATCATAATAGTTACTTGGAAGAAGTTATTCAGGAATAACTGAATGCTCATTATCTGCCCCTTCACCTGGATCCCATTTCTGCACCGAACATGCAGTAGCTGTAGGGAAGAGTGGGTGCACACTTAGAGGAACTGAGGCAGGAAGGCACAGGAGGAGGAAAACCTTACTCTGGACTACAGGCCTTGATATCCTTTGTCCCTTCAGGAAAAATCTGTACCCAGAAAGCTGCTTCTGTACTCCCACCTGGTCTTTGCCTCTGTTTCTCCCTCTTGAACCTCGGAGAGCTACCAGGCACTTCTGAGGAGTGTCATCTCTCTTGGACTGTTGGCGACGGCAGTGTGCCTACCCAGCAGCTGGACTCAGCTCTCTTCCTCAATCCCCAGCAGCCACACAAGCTTTTCTCAGCCGAGCAGCTGGAAAGTCTGCTGTCTCCTCTGTGTTTGCTGTCCTGGCTCCTTGTGACTTGTCCTGAGCTCAGCTTATTCCTTTCTTCTGCCTATCTTTCTGTAGCTTCTTCTGGCTTCTTTTTTCTCTCCCAGTGCCTCAAATTCAAGCCTTCTGGCGGTCAGTGACTCATATTTACCTTATGATGTGAGAAATCTATGTTTTTGTTGGGTATGGACCCAATAGCCCTTATGTAATTGCCCCTGCAGTTTTCAATTATGTGATTTCCACTTTTGTCAGTTACAAACTTTACAACTCTAAAAACCATCATATGCAGATAACTTAAACCATCTCTACCTTGGTCATTGCCCTGCCTTCAAACAGGTCTTTTTACCACGTCCATCAGAGGGGCAGTGCTTCGTCTGGCCCTCAGACCAGTCTGTGGTTCTGTAGAATCTGTGACAGACTCCGTTTTCACAGCTGGTTTCATCATTTTCCTTACACAAATGTTCTTCTTCCCTTTTCAGCAACCAAACTGTTTCCATGTATGTGCAAGAGTGACGCCTTATTGAC